TCTCTCTCTCCCCTCTCTTCAGCTCTCTCTTCAGCTCTCTCTCTCTCTCTCTCACTCTCTCTCTCCCCCCTCTCTCTCTTCCTCCCCTCCCCCCGCCGCGCCTCCCGTTACAAAAAGTGCAGTGGGAATCGGTCTTTGTAATTTGTTTGTAAGAGTATAAATGTTCTACTCTCCCTTCGCACCTGTTCAGATCATTAAGGAGGTATCCATCCTGCCTCTACCCTGCTCTATCTCACGCAGCCCGGCCTGGCACTGGAAGGCAAGGTCGAAGCAGCCCGCCTCCTCATTTATAAATGCTAAAGGCGCGTAACATCTCCAACAGTCATGCTTTCGATATGTCATCTGTGCTCTCATTTCCTACTTCTTCCCACATGCTCGTTGGTCCGTTGTACACTGTTTGAAATGACGTCTGCTTAGCTGCATCAAATTTTGACTCTGAAGTCGAAGCACATTGGTAGTATCGGTGGTCTAGTGGTTAGGCAACCGGACCTGTTATCGTGAGATTGTGGGTTCGGAGGGTTCGAGCGTCAGCTGGGTCCGACGTTGTGTTCTTGGGAAAGGCACTTCACAGTACAAATTTTTCGATTTGGCTGGGTCCTTTCAGGAATAGACGTCACGCGCGAAGGTCCCGTGATAGGGGTATTAAACCTTTTCCATTTCATTTTCGAAGCGCATTATACTCAGTGAGTGGGTGGTTGGCGGGTGCTCTGGTGTGGTTTGCTTCTTCTTTCCTATGAAACATCTATCGTCCTGATCTCCCCTTCTTCTTTTTTTATGTTTGTTACTCTCTTGTAACACGTCTAATTTTCTGGCGCTCATATGACCTTATGCAGTTGCGAGCGCCGTGAAACTTCTACAAAACTAAAACATGATAGGGGTATAGAACCTTTTCCATTCCATTTTCGAAGCGCATTATACTCAGTACACACTTCTCATCGGATTCATCGAACTGAGCCGGGGACAGCAAGGTTTTTTTCTTTGTATGGATTGGTCGAAAGCTACCATTTTGGCATAATACGTCCGGGTTTTAACTAAATTTAATTGTGGCATTCAAAATCCGACACGTTTGTCTTTTACCGTCGCTTGTCGAATCAGTGTATTGTGCCAAACGGCAGCTTTTGTCCAATCAATGAAATGAAATATGGCTGGCCCGAATCAAACCGTTTTAGATTTAGTTTAAGTAAGATTTTACGGCACTTGCAACGCAGTGGGGGTCATAGAAATGCCGAAGATAAGACTAGACGTCACAAGAGA